AGGCGGGACAGCCAGGCCCATGGTCGCCCCGTGCTGGAGGCAGGCAGGGCCGGTGTCAGGAGACTCAGAAGGAGGTAGGAGAGGTGACCCTTGCAGCTCCTTTGACAGGATGAGGACCTTATGCTGCTTTGAGGGAGGGTGGGAGCAGTCTAATTCGTGTCTTATGGGTCGCCATGCTGCTATGTAGCTTGTCTTGGGGGGCACAGGGAGACCCAAAGGCCGTTAGGACCCTGATGATCCCAGAACCGTGTTTCTGCTAATGTGTCTCTAAATCATAGCAGGCAGTGCCACCATCTGTAACCAAATGAAGAACTCGTGCTGGGGGAGGGTAGCACCTTGCCCAAGCCCTGCCAGGAGCTGTGGGACCAGCACCCCACCATGGGGGCTGGGAAGAGGTGACTGGGATGCTAGGCTGACCAGCAGGCGCCTGCTCTCCACCCACCCACCCCATTCCTGCCATCAGGGGCCTCCCCATACCCTGGGGTGCAGATCAATGAGGAGTTTTGCCAGCGGTTGAAAGAGGGCACGCGGATGAGGGCCCCGGAGCTGGCCACTCCTGCCATGTGAGTCTCCCACTGGCTGAGCAGGCTTTGGGGGTCAGAAGAGGTGGGCACCGGAGAGGTGTGGGCACGAGGGGTGTTGTGTGCAGGCACGGGAAGGGGGCATGCAGGTGGGGGGAGGGGAGCAGGGAAGCAGCGGGGGTAGAGGCCTGCAGACGGTCTCTCACTGCACCTCTCTCCTCCCTGCGCAAGAGGGACACTGGGTGCCTGAGCCTTGGGGGTAAGGGGCAAGTGGGCGTGAGGGCAGGGTTCAGGAGCTGAGTGTGCTGGTTCAGCGGGGTATCCTCAGACCCCAGTCCAGCCACTTTCCCACAGACGCCACCTCATGCTGAGCTGCTGGTCTGGAGACCCCAGGGAGAGGCCCGCGTTCTCGGAGTTGGTGGACATTCTGGGGGACCTGCTCCAGGGCTGGGGCCGGCAGGTGAGCCCTTCTCGCTCCGTCCTACTGCAGTGACCTCCAGCCCCCACCCCAGGGATGGTCAGAGCCCATCTAGGTTCACTAGGAGTCCCTGTCTCTGGGCAGGAGAGCCTGTGTTCCTTCACCCCTTCTTTGCACCTCCACCTCCTGCAGCCCTGCCCCAGCCCTTGCCCTGTGTGACCATCCCCATGGGGTGCTCAGGGCTGGCTCGGGACAGCACAACGCTTTGGGACCTTCTGTCTGACTTCGGGCTGGGGACAAGCACTTGGTATCTATTCTGCCTCAAGAAAAGGGTGGGAAGAGCTGGCACTGGTCCCTTAGTCTGGGGCCCTTGGGAGGGTGAAGGGGTAAGGCTAAGGGGACGCAGGGGCCTCTGACCTGGCTACTTCTCCCATTCCTGCCACCAGGAGGAGGAGGAGGACTGCATGGTGCCCTGCAGCTCAAGCTCAGAGGAGGGCAGCTTCCTGCAGGCGTCCACCACAGCCCTGCATGTCGCTGAGGCTGATGCCACCGAGGAAGGCAGCCCGCCAAACCAGCACAGCCTGGCTGCCAGGTTAGCTGCCCTTCCTGGGTCCCAGGGTCCCCCTGGGCAGGGGGAGAGCAGTTTGGGCCTGGTGTATTTTATCCTTGTCAACCATCAAGGAAAAGACAAACTACAAGGACTTTAGAGACCACTGCCCACCAACTCAGAGCCGAGTGATCTTAGATGCCGGTCCTGGGTGATGCCCTCCTGGGCAGCCTCAGGTGCCCCAGCAGGGCCACATGGCCTTGTGACTTTGCTTCTTGCTATGCCTCTCAGTCCTTCTCTCTGCCCTCCAGTGTCCCTGCACTCACTCCTAGCCCCGCCTAAGAGACCCTCCAATTTTGAGGGAGCGCCCACCTGGAGTACAGTGCCCAGGCTAGCTTCACATTGCAAGAAGAGAAAAGGGAGGGACAATGAGTCCCAGTGGCCACTGGCAGGGACCCTGGGAGCAGGGCAGGCCACCCACCAGAATCCAGGATGAAAAATGTAGCTGGATCAGAGATCTCTTGTAATTTTTGCTAACACTCCACATTCCCACTGGCCTTACTGAGAGGAGGGCTCTGAGACACCTGCCCTTCTGCCCCAGCATGGAGCAGGGTCAGGCCTGGGGACAGGAAAGACTAACTGGTTCTTGCAGCCTCCATCCACCAGTCCCTCACAATGCACACAAACATGCTGCACACACGTACGTACACACACGCACACAGGCCAGATGGTGGCCTGCAGCACTGGGACTGCTTGGCCTGCATGGGGGCCCCTCTTAGAGTGAAGGCTCTCTGTCTCTCACACACCGGGCTGGGTGTACTCCATTCCCCTTCTGCACCCCACCCCCCCCGCCCCTGCTAGCAGCATAGGAGGTGCTGGGGTGTCAGGGTGGAGAGGAGCCCAGAGCAGCACTCCAGCCCCAGACCTGGGGTCCCTCCCAAGAGGAGGAGGGCAGAGAGGTGGCCAGAGCTTTCAGGAGGGCTGCTGGCATGGCTTTCTTCAGCACTTTCTGTCCCCACCCCTGCCAGATATTACAACTGTGTGTCCTTTCCCGGATGCCTGGCTAGAGGGACCCAGGGTCCCTCCAGGATGAAAACGTTCGAAGAATTTCCCATGACCCCAACGAACTACAAGGCTTCGGTGGTAAGTGGGAGGGGGCTCCGCACCCCAGATCAGGGCCTCTGGGCGCTCTCTGCAGGGAGGCAGATGGTGGGAACTCCTAAGGCAAGGGACAGAAACCAGCTCAGAAAAGGACGTCATCTCTCCCTTGAAATCTAGCTGTGTCTCATCACATCCGGGCCTGGGTGCTCCTGCCATGCCAGTGCCTCAGCTGCTTTCTCCTGCACCCTCCTCACTCACACAGCCCCAGCCCTCTCTCTCCCAGCAACTGCAGTGGAAAGATGGCGCCTCCTTCTGGGTGTTTCCTATTGGCTCACCCTTTGGTAACTACCAAGCCATGTGGCCAGAGGGAAGGGGCCGATGTTACTGGAAGAGGAGGCTGGGGTACAGGACACGGGAAAGCCACCTGTGGCTCAGCTTGCGTCCCCAGGGCCAGATGATGTCATGGGACCCCCAGCTCTGACAAGAGGGCAGTTGTCCTCTATGGAATTCAAAATGAAAACCACGCCAAGTCACACATGATCGAAGGGTGACCAAGGTCCTCTAAACCAGGGATGTGTCTGCACGAAGATCATTTTTATATACAACGAGGATTCCTTTCATACTTTCCCTGTTTCTCCGGGTGCTCCTACTCTGCCGGTGCCCTGAGCACACGCAGGGCTGCCTGTGGGTCCCTTGGCGTGAGGCGTCCTGGCTTTGCCACCTCCTGAGCATGGGCCAGACACAGTTTTTCCCTCTGTAGCTGGACGTATGACCTTCACCTGTATACTCCAGTGAGGGAATGGTTTTCTGCTCACTTCCCACAGGACAGGTGTTAGGTCAGCGGCTCTGCAGGTCCATGTGGCCTCACCTACACCGAGGCCTGCAGCCCGGCCTCGGTGGGGCCCACAGCCATGGGTTGTTCTCTCTGCATAGGATAACCAGACAGACAGTGGGATGGTGCTGGCCTCCGAGGAGTTTGAGCGGTTGGAGAGCAGGCACAAACAAGAAGGCGGGCTCAGGTAGGACCTCCTGAGCCTCTTCCTCTGAAAGGGGTTAAGGGAGGTAGGCTGGGCCTACACATGCCTGTCACTCTCTTGCCTAAATCTTTTCATGGCTCCCTATTACCTTTCTGTGTATTCAAGGCAAGGCACTCTGGGACTCCAGGCCCTTGGCCACCAGCCTTCCCAGAGGAGCGCCCTCCCCCATCACCTTCCTGACCCAGCACACCTGGTTCTGGTCCCCCCACACCTCCCTTCCATTTAACAGATGTTCAAACACCACCTCTTCTTAAAACTAAATATGACCCATCATGCCCAGTCTTGGCTTCTGCCTATGCGGTTCTTAAATCAATTAATATCTTTTTTTATTTTAGCTTTCTTTAAATATAATAGACAATTAGTCGTTTGTATTTACATTGTACAATTCAATGATTTTTTTTCAATTATACTTGGCATACAATAACATACCAGTTTCAGTTGTATAGCATAATGATCAGAGATTCACATAACTCACAAAGTTATCACCCCACTAAATCTAGTACCCCTCCTCCTTTTTACATATTTATTACAACATTATTAACCATTTTTCCCATGCTACACTCTATATCTCCATGTCCGTTTGTACCTCTTAATCCCATTGCCTTATTTTGCTGTCCCCCCCAACACCCCTTCCATCTAGTAGCTCTCAAAATATTCTCTGTATCAATGAGTTTATTTCCGCTTTTGTTGTTGTTATGGTTTATTTTCTTTAGATTCCACATGTACCTGAAATCATGAAATATTTGTCTTTCTCTATCCAACCCATTCCATTCAGCGCAATGCTCTCTAGGTCCATCAAGGCAATATCTTTTTCCAGCCCCTTTCTTTTAGTCTGTGTGTGTCTTTTAAACCGAAGTGAGTCTCTTGTAGGCAGCATATGTAGGGGTCTTGTTTTCTTATCCATTCAGCCACTCTAGCTTTTGGTTGGAGCACTTCTTTTCCATTTGAGATACTTGTCATTAGGAATGTAGTTATTACCATTCTTTATTTCTGTTTTTGATACATTTTTCTTTCTTAAAGAAGTCCCGCCAACATTTCCTGTAATACCGGTTTAGTATTGATAAATTCCCTTTGCTTATTTTTGTCTGGGAAGCTCTTTATCTGTCCTTCAACTCTAAATGATAGCTTTGCTGGATCAAGCATTCTTGGTTGTAGATCTTGGGTTTTTATCACATCAAATACTTTGTGCCAAGCCTTTCTGTCCTGCATAGTTTCTTTTGAGAAATCAGCTGTCAGTCTTATGGGTGCTCCCTTGAAGGCAGGCCTTGAAGCTTTTCTCTTGCTGCTTTTAAGATTGTCCCTTTGTATTTAATCTTTGGCATTTTAATTATGATGTGTCTTGATGTGGGCCTCTTTGAGTTCCTGGTTTTTGGGACTCTCTGAGCTTCCTGGGGTTTTATGTCTATTTTCTTCACCAGGTTAGGAAAGTTTTCCATCATTATTCCTTCAAATAACTCTTCACCATCTTGTCTTCCTTCTAGTACCCTTATGATATGGATATTTTTACATTTAATAATGTTCCATAAGCTCCTTAAATTATTATTATAGTCTTGGCTGCTTTATTCTTGCCATTCTGATTGAATGTCTTGGCTTCTCCATCCTCTATATCAGTAGTTAGATCCTCTTCTTTATCTGCTCTGTTTATTGTCTCTACTGCACTTTCATCTCAGATAATATGTTCTTCATTTCTGACGGGTACCCTTTTATAATTTGCATTTCCATGTTTATGTTGGGTTTTTTTTTTTTCCCGACTAACAAACAGTCAAGAACTACTGCCACCTAATATGTCATCTCTTGTTAGGCAGCCACCATTCTCAGAGGAAAAAGGAAACTACTGCCTTTATGTTTGGGAGACATCCTGGGAGAACTGACATGTCCCTCAGTCCTAGAGGAGAGTGAATAAGATGCTCTTGAAATGGGAGGACAGGATAATGACCCTCTGCTGCGCATT